GCTGACAAAATGACCTGGCAGACTCTGTGTGTGATATTTTAAGGGGAGGGAGATGCCAAAAGCATTGCAGGAAGAAACGTATTCTTAAAGATTATTACCATGGTGTCTACCAGAGTGAGGACTAGGTAGCATAATATTCTGAGATATAAATTCTCTGAGGCAGAACATAGAATTTTACTACCTAAAAGAAGATGTATTATGCCATCAGCAAAGGCCATGGAGCTCCATGTGATTAAAATAAAAAAGGAGCCAACTATCTGCCTTTAACTACCATTTAATGATAATGATTTTTGTCTTTAGCATTTATATTGGAAGTCAAGAAAGAGGCAAGCTGCAGGCTATCTAATAATAATATGGATAATAATAACTAACAATCACACTTCTATTCTTCCTCAGTTCTGAGCAGTCTATGAAAGTCTCCTCCTTCATCTTAGTTTATATGGTAATGGAAATATTAGTTTTAAAATTATGTTATGCACTACATGCTGATGAAGAAAATTTAAGCATTAGGTTTACATTATTAGTAAAGTCTCAGCAGGGGGGTACTCTGAATCCATATGCTTTACATAGTCTCATTTATTATCATGGCAACCCTTGCAGGCATATCTAGTTACCCATTTATTTTTATAACTCTCAACAACTTTCTAATAAATCATAGTGGTATTGATGTGTGGCTGTCAAATACTAGATAACAAAGGCCAATTAGTAAATATCCAGATTTTTTTTAAATCTATTTTTTGTATTTATTTCATTTGTTTGAAAGGCAGAGAGGCAGATAGAGACACTTTGATCTGCTCGTATAAGTACTAAATGCTACCGTAGCCAGACTGGGCAGGCCATCAGGTGTGGGTGGCAGGGACACAGGGACTTGAGCCATCATCTACTATCTCAAAGTGTCTGCATTAGGAGGAAGCTGGATCAGAAGCAGAGCATCAGAGCACAACCATGCAAATATGTGATATAGCCAACTAGGCAGCTATTTAGCTGCTACATCAAATGGCTGCCCCAAGTATACAAAATTTTCCTCAGTAGTATGAGATTAGGCATGTTGGTGATATTTGCACTTTGAAAATCAACCAGGACTGAAGAATCTGGCTCTTATCATTCAGTTTCACTACTGCTTTTAGAGCAGGTTTATTAGCTCATCTTTGCCAGTTTACTGAGTTTTATGGCATGGATTAAAACCCAGGTTTGCACTGTGCAAAAAGCACCTGTTTATTTGCTTCAAGTTTACAAAAATTTTGAATTGGGAAAAATCTAAGTGCTTCATAAAGTGCAAGCATGTAACAATGCTGCAGTCGCATTCCCTCTGCGTTTCTTCTGAATGCTTCAGGTGCATTTGTTTTTCTCATTTCATGCAAACTTCATGGGACGTGGTACACTTGTTGGTTTCAATTACAGCTATGTTTTCTTACATCCCTAAAATATCATCTTGAGTATCATCACATTTATATATCAATATTTAACTTACAGACTGCAGATATAATGTTAATTTAGGTCCTTTCCATTTCTTATCTCCAAACATAGTATCTGTGTCTTAGAAAAGATATAACTGTTGCTGAAAAACATAAATCCAATTGCTTGATCAGCCTAAAAATTTGTCATTGGTCTTTTGAGAAATAAAAAGGTTTATGTGGTTGGCTAACATGGAAACAGTGATAAACGTGAAATCTCTTTTCCTACTTGGATGCTAGGGTAAAGTTTTATGGTGTCAGGAAAGAAGCTGGGACTTGGTTCTGTAGCAGGACTGTATACATGAGAGTTAGTATGGGCAAGAATCCAATCAGTGAGCAATACTCCCCTTGCTTCTTGAAACTGGATCTTCTATTTCTGTGTATTCTACACTTTTTAGGAAACAATTTTGGTTCTGGGTGTCATCTAAGGTCATAGCTTTCCAGCATGTGCAGTTTGGATGGTTATCCTTTATCTAGTGGAGACTTATTTAAGCCAGTTTGATAGCGAAGCTTATAAAAACAGTTGTAAGACCTAGGGATTCAGTAATGTTACTTCTGTGACTTGAACCTGTTAAAGAAAAAAGTAAAGAGGATTTGAGAGCAGGAAAGGAGAAACAACGAAAAATGTTTAAATGTCAGAGGTAACAAGGGGAGACCTGGAGTCTAGATTGTGGCACAGCAGGTTTCAGCTACCACCTGAAACAATGGAAACCCATATTGCAGTGTAGATTTAAGTCCCTGCCCCACTTCTGATCCAGCTGCCTGGGAGTGCTCCTTGGAAGGCAGCTGAAGAAAACCCAAGTTATTAGTAAAACTGCAACCAAAAGGATGGGAGAAAGTCTTTACACACTACACAAGAGAGAAAGCGCTAATCTCCAGAATATATGAAGAACTCTACAACAACCAACAAAATAAAACAGAACAAATTGGTCAAGAAATGGGCATGGGAAATAGGCAGACACTTTAAAAAGGAATAGATCCAAATGGCTAACAGGCATATGAAAAAAAATGCTCAAGCTCCCTGATAATAAGGAAAATACAAATAAGAACATCACTGAGTTATCACCTAACACCAGTAAGAATGACCCACATACAGAAAACCACCAACTTTCTGATGAGGATGTAGGGAAAAAGGAACCCTAATCCACTGGTGGTTTGATTGCAGGCTGGTGCAGCCTCTATGGAAATCAGTATGGAGAGTACTTAGACAACTGAAAATCTGCCTACCATATGTCCCAGCAATATCACTCCTAGGAATATATCCAAAAGACCTGTTACATGAGAAAGCAACATACACCCCTATGTTCACAGCAACACAATCAATGGTTCCAAAAACATAGAAGCAACCGAAATGCCCATTAACAGAAGACTGGATAAGGAAACTGCAATTCATCTACTCTATGAAATACTACTCAGCTATTAAAAGAACAAAAACAAACAAAAAATGAAATACATTTCATTGTGGCCAGATAGACCAAACTATAAACCATTATACCATTATGCTAAGGGAAATAAGCCAATCCCAAAAGGTCAGATATCATATGTTTGACTTAATATAATATAAAACAATGTCAAATCTAAAAATTGTACCTGTAAATTGTATCGTATTGCATTCCAAGATGCCTGTACTACCTGCAATAAGATCTTGTGATGTAACCTATTAATTTATAATTCATTAGAGACTGATGAATATGATCATCTGAGATTGTTAATATCCCTCTTATTACTGTTATTACTACCTCCCATGGCCAACGATGATTTAGTCCATACTGTACTCCCATTTGAACCACATGGGTCATATGCTAGCATTAATTTCTACAGGATGATATTGGACACTCTTTTGCACCACCCTAGTGTCACATCGATACCCATGCTACGAGTTCAAAAACACCATGGAAATAAAGACTATTTCATTTATTTATTTTTTTATTTTTTTCCTTCTCAATCTGAGGGGGACTCTACCTAAGGGTAGGTATAATGGAAGCACAGCAGAAATAATATGTCCATAGGCTTAAACAGAGAGAAGCATATCCCCGAACTTGCAATACAAGAATGGTTTCACAGTGAAATGACAGAGAAACCCCTACATTGTTGGGAGACTCTTCAATGGGAGTACGATGGACTTCCGAGGGCACTCCAAAGACACGTAGTGGGAGACTGGAGAGAACAATGGGCGTGGCGGTAGGGAAACCCCAATGCCTATTAAACTTTGTCATAGAATAAATTAAAAAAAAAGAAAACCCAAGTGATTTGATTCCTGTTACCCACGAGGAAGACTAGGATTGGACTTCATGCTTCTAGCTCTTAGAGCAATTTGGGGAGTAATCTAAAGGATAAGAAGCTTCTCCCTCTTCTGCCATTCAAACAAGTAATTAAAATTTCTTAAAGAGACCTTAGGTTAAGGGGGTTAATCACTCCTTTTCATTACTCTCTGTTACACTAGAATGTTACCTTGAAATTATCAAATAAAAGCAGAAAAATAAAAGCATACTAACAAGATACAGTGAACTAATCAAACAATATGTGCAGTCTTTCTCATCTGCTAACAAAGAAAATTTCAGATATTTAAAAAATGAGAAGTTACAAACATTGTTTACAAATATGGATTTAAAACAATGTGCTTTTATATAATTGTTAAAATGGTTCACATTGAACTTATCTGGACAATAAGATGCTGGACTTTACGTTTGGTAAATGCTTGCAATGAAAGAATCTCAACTGAATTTGAACTGTGGTAATGCAACAAGGTGGAGGAATCCACCATGGGGGGAGGGCTTAGAGAGGGGTAGGGGGAATCCCAGTGCCTATAAAACTGTGTCACATAATGCAATCCAATCAATAAAAAAAAAAGGTTCACATACTATTAGAATTACAATGTTGCAGAGGCTGATTTTTGAATACTCTCAAACACATGTCTACTGTCAACACAAATAAATAGGATCTATAAAAAGATTAAACTAAGGTTTATTCAGAGAATATAAGTGAGCTAGGCCAGCCCAGGAACACATGCCTATGACTTCCATTAAATCTTGGGAACTGTTTTAAAGTGATCAAATTCCAGTTACAAATCGTATACTCCAAATTGAACAGAAACAGGTTTGACACCCCCACACCCTAAGTAACACTGAAAAATAAAAGAGAAAAAGCTTTAGATAAGCTGGAGATGAAGGGCAGAGGATTTCTCAATGATTGTAGATTAATTTCTTCAGATTATGGTTGGTTAGAAATACATGCAGGGACTGTGAAGGTATTATTTCTGGAAAGAGGCTACTGGAACTGTTTAGTAGTTCTGATGAAGTCACTTGTGGGAATTGATACAGAATATATGGATAAAGAACAAAAGATTACTCGATTACTCAAGATGACCAAGATCAGACTGATCTGTGGGTGCATCACCTAAGTCAGATTGAACTGATAAATAAAAATAACAGCTCTGACCACCACTTCTCATTCAGGTCTCTGCAATTTTCTTGTGAATGCCTCATGGGGGGCAATCTGTTCCCAATAACCAAACTAAGACCTATTTATACCCTTTTTTAATTTCAGGGGATCCTATGGTCATGACGTGGGGAAACGGCCTTGGATTACAGGAGACGAATGCATAGTGGGCCTCATGACTGACATTGTAGGTAAGTGTAACACACAAAACTATTTTTCCCCAAAGCATTTGGCAAGATACTATCATTATAAGTACTGGCTACAAAGTCAGAGGTTATAGATGGACATACCAAGTTTCTGTTTTACTCCATAACAGTAAGAGTTAAGTAAATTTTTAATTTAGATTGTTTCTTCCAAGTATGTTATGAAATACAGGATTATTTGGTACAAAATGTTGCTACTTACGAAATTGAAAACTAATATTAACCCATTCATAAAAATGTCTACTGTATCAATTTAATAAATTTCATAAAACTTGACTGGATTTCTGGTAACTCCTTTTTATGATGAAAGACAAGGGAAAATTACAAAAATTTATGTAAAAATGAATTCGATCTTCACTAAACATAAAAAATGCTAAGCATATTTTGAATCATTTAAGTTTAATCATCAATTTTCTGTTTAAATTTAGACTACCTGTTATAAACAATACATTTGATTGCTTTTTGTTCTATTTTGTGTTTCCTTAAAGTGAGTCCATACATGTGTGAGACTAGTATTATTCAGGATAGTTTTAGATAGTAGATGCTATTAATGACTTAAAAAAAAGTTATTACATTTAAAAATCCAGCATTCCTGAATTCTTATGTGAATTCATGATACTGAGAAAAGAAATAGAAATGTAGATAAATTTATTCGGAAATAGTCTAAAGACTTAGGGAAGCACCAACTCTCAAAATGCTATTTGTCATTTTTAAAAGGATTTATTGATTCATTAGAAAAGCAGAATTATGAGCAGAGAGAGAGACAGAACTGAACTTTCATTTGCTCCCCGAATGACAATAGCTGTGACTGAACCAAGTAAAAGGTTCTAGGAGTTTCTTCAGTTTCCCACAGGCACCCCAATACATGGGTCAGTGGAAGATTTGCAATCCCATTAGCAAGGAATTATTTCAGAAGCAGAAAGCCTCTATGAGATGCTGGTGTTGAAGGTGGCAATTCAACCTATTACAACAAAATGCCAGTCATTTTCAAAATGCTTTTTCAAACCCCATTTCTTTATTAAAAAGGTATAAAAACATATTCTTGGTTTAGCCTAGACATTTTAACCATTACTCAGAAGACAAAATCAGTTTTGGGGTGTGGGTCAGGTAGAGTGGAATTCAAATGACAAAAGTGGGATTTAAGCCAGAAAGAATTGTGGCAGTTGGCATTAAAATAATTATACTTGTATTAGCATAAACTTCGGTATTGTCTAGAGATTCTTGTGAACAAGAAAAATCCATATAGCTCTATGCCAGCAATTGGGAACAGAGACCAAATGTTTTCAGTCCCATCACACACATGGGCAGATTTGATTTCTTTGTTTCCCATTGTATGTTATAGCAATTGATTTAGAGATGCTTCATTCTGTAATACAATAACAGATATAAAATGTTCTTGGAGTGGATAAAGTCTGTTTTATAAACAAAATACTTAAAAAGGATATAATGAGTAATATTTTATTTATTAAAAATATTTGTGTATTTAATTTGTAAAAGTAGCTGGGACTTGGCCTATCAAAAGACAGGATTCATGGATACAGGGGTCCAAAGACTTAGGCCATTCTCCCCTGCTTTTCCAGATCATTAGCAGGGAGCTAGATCAAAACTTGGGCAGCCGGGAATTGAACCTGTACCTATATGGGGTGCTGGTGCTACTGTTTGGGAATTACAATGCTATGCCATGGTGCTAACTCCATGAGCAGTGTTTTAAAAGCTTGCATATTATTTGCCTTTTCTACGTTTCAGAAATTACTAGAACAGTTTACTTGAGGGTATGTACCCTAAGACATACCTAAAAATGAATTCACTACGTTTGCTTTAATATGATCAGATAATCTCAGGAGATGTTAAGTGTGTGTAAAATGACAAATTCAACATTTTAAAGATAGTGATTAGCTTAGTTTTAAATTCTAGAATTGGTCTTATAATGACATTTTTCCTTGGATGCTGTACTGATCCATGACTGTCTCCTTACCTATGAAAATTACAGAATAAAATGAGACAAAGACAAACTGTTCATTCATTGAAAGAAAAGACTTAATTTCCTATTAGTGAAAAAACTATTAATATTTTATGCATGGCCAACAGTTCTACAAAACATGGAATATGTTACCCTTGTAATTAATGTCATATTATCAAGATATAAGCAATAGAATTGCTAATGAATTTTATTAGCATCATTAAGCCTGCTTAAGAAAGCCTACATAGAAAAATAGATGCTTAGATTTATAAAAATGTTGCAATACAAACACAAATTTATTTTTAAGAAATGTGTGTATGACCCTGGGAAAAGCAATGATTCCTGGAAGCTTCCCCCAAGACTCCCAGCCATTTGGCACCTTTAGCAGTCCCAGCAAATTGCTACTTGAAAACTTAAGGAGCAAAGCATGCAGACTTAGCCTGACTACAAACCTGATAAGTAACTCAATAGTGGCATTGGGATCTGTTTATCAAATACACAGGGTGTGATATGGCAGGAACATATAATGAGCTGTCTTATTGAAACTGGGAGGCAGGGGGAGCAGCTGAGCTGCCAGGATAGTTAAACCCAAGGGTGACATGGGTATTTCCTCCTGCCCCCTTTGCTCAGGAAACAGAAACACACTGACCAGATTCAGACCACTTTAGAGAACTATGGCTGACCTAGATTGTGGTAAATCAGCATGCTATGTAACAAGCCTACCAAGAGACAGGAAACAAAGGACCATATAAGAATCAAGAAGGAATGGCAGCTAAATTTATGGAAATCCTCTTGTTGCCTGCAGGAAAACCCTGAATGTTAGGTGACACCTCCCGTTATAATGCCAACCACGACTCAAGTCACTCCTGTCTGTGTGAGCCTGCACTTCAGCCACGCTATCTACACTTTGTCTTTCTCAATGAAGTTCTTGCTGTAACTGTCATCTTCTCATGAATTCTTTCTTGTGACAGAGCCATCTTGATACTAAGCAGTGCTTTTCACAAACTCCTTATTTTGTAAAGAAAAAAAAATGTAGGACTGTTCTAGGTTTACAAAGGCAGAAGCTGGTTTGCAGCAGGGTCTTCTGTATTTGACTATTATGTGTTAACAGTGCTCCAAAGAGGAATCCTGAGAAATTATTTTTTTTTCTCCAAGAGACATTAAGTAAGTTAAATCATTGATAAATGAAATTCAAAGCGAATACCTCATTGGTTTATTAAAAAAGAGCGTAAGTCAGGGATTTAGAATTACCAGTATATAGTATAAGCTCTCTATAAATCGTCTGAGCAGGCTTTGAGAGAAGGTGGTGCTGGAATTCACTTGAGTCTTGCTTTTCAGTACAGCCGAAGATGATCTTCAGTAAATACATGAACTTGTAATAAACAGGCAGGAGAGCACTCTTCTGATGAGGGCCCTGGATCACACCTGTCTCATTGAAATGTTTCAAATCTTGACATTTATTGCAGTGAATTGTAGATGATTTAATATATATACATATATATATATACTTTTAAATCTTAACAAGCTTTCTCATAAGTTCAAAAAAAGAAAGCTTTGTCCCCACATACTTGTAGATCTTGATGTTTTCACAATTCAAAGAAGGCTCTTATGAGAATGAAAAGAAACAAAGAACTTAAAAGAATTCCAGCTGATTTTTTTTTCAAAAAGGTTTATTTTCTTATAAAACATTGGTATTGAAATACCTCAACAACGTTGATTTCAGAGGTATAGTTTGAATAAAAAGAAATAGGTCAATTAGGTATGTTTTCTTTTGAAAATAAGCTGAAAATCAAACTGATGGAACATCAGAGAGTGCTTGATTCTTCCATGCTTTACATGTGGAGTAAACATTTCTGTTAGTGTTTTTGAGACTTTGATATTAGCACAGTCTTGGTTAGTTTATGTGTACTTGTGTTTGTGCTAAAGGTACTGATTAACCATGGCAAATTTCAGTTCCACTCGGGACACTGATTTTAGGAAGTTCTTGGTTGAACTTGACTAAGAGTGTCCTATTGTGTGTGTGTGTGTGTGTGTGTGTGTGTGTGAGAGAGAGAGAGAGAGAGAGAATTTTTCAAATGAGATACCATTTACAAAAAGAGGAGGGGTCCAAGTTTGAGTTTGCTATTTAACATAAGGTGAACACTGCTCAGCACTGCTTGAAAAGCTAGGTTCCTACAGCCCAGCACAGAGGGATGGGCGTGTGTGTAGCTTCACCCATTCTCTGACCAGATAGTTTTTAAGTGATCACAAATGAATACCAGTTGCTTTAAAAATCCAAAATTTCTCAGGAATCTTGTTTTAAGATTTTAATTATTTTAGGCAGAATTGAATGTTTAAGCAAAGCTGGAATATCTGAACTTGTATTGAAAGTTTTTCATCTTTCTCCCTGTTTAATTACTTCACTTTCTAGATAACATTTGTTAATGTTCACTATAGTCTCTTCATTGCTTCTCTTATTAATCATTTGCCCTTGAATTCCACCTTTCATTGTCTCTGTAAACAAACTTTTTAAGCACAGTTTTCGGGAAAACTATGCATTGGTAGCTAACAGGGAGTGAACAATGGATCACATTGGATATATTTGCATACCTTTCTTTTTGAAATAACAGTGGAAGTTCGTACCATGATGCAGAGCAACAATATAATACAGGTGTTATACACTTGAGAATTGCCTTTTAAAGATTATGTTTATTTGAAAGGCCAAGTTACTGAGGTGATGTAGAATAGGGAGAGAAGGAAAGCAATCTGCCGTTTCACTCCCTAAATTTTTGCTGTAGTGAAGTGAAACAGCTGGGATTCAAAGTGACACAAATTTGGGATATAGATATTGTAGCTGGCAGCTTTACCCGCCACCTACATCTCCCACCTTTTAACATTTTTTAAAAAATGTGTTGTTTAGGAAAAGTCTCAAGTTGTTATCTGTAGCGTAAGCCTACCACATCTGTGTGGTATGTCTAAGAGGAATTTGCTTTACTGCTAAAGCATGGGATGAGATTGCATTAATCGTCCCTTGACTTCAAACATGACTTGCCTTACAAATACTGGGGATACATCATTTAACACTTACCACTTGTTTACCAGGTAGAGAAATCCATGTGGCAAATGCGTCAGGAGTTCCTTGATTGGATAAACCTATGGGAACTCCCTTGAATAGCTCTGTTGAACAATTCCTACATTACACACTTCACTGCCGTGACTTCAAATGTACTTACCCTGTAAATATTAGATTGTTATTTTACTTCCTCTCTATTATCTTAAAATGGAACTCTCTAATGCATCACTTTCATTGCACAATGTTGGACTTGTATCACATTTTTAAATATTTAGTAGTGCCTTATAAACATTAAGACATAGCACATTCTCCATCATTGTGAGTATACTAGATTAATTGGCTTTTTGGATTTACTTTTTTAATGTTATGATACAGTTCATAGGCTTTGATTTCCCCTCTATAATTATAATAGTATAGTCCTTCAAAAACACTCAGAGTAGCATTGTGCTGCAGGGGCATGAAGCTCCCACTTGAAGTGCCAGCATATTAGAGTGATTGTGTCCTGGTTACAATGATCCAGGTTTCTGATAATGTGACTGGAAAGGCAGTGTAAAACAGTCCAAGTTCCTGGGCTGCTGCCACCCAGGTGGGAGACCAGGATGGATTTCCTGGCTCCTAATTTAAGCCTGACCCAGTCTGAGTGTTGTAGCCACATAGAGAGTGAGCCAGAGGATGGATAATCTCTCTCTCTCTCTCCATCTCTCCTTCTCCCTCTCCCTCCCTTCTTCTTTATCTTTCTTCCCCTATCTTCCCCTGTCTCTTTCTGGCTCCATCTTTCAACTAAATAAATACTGTTGCAAATTGATTAAATCTGCTGTGCTGGATTTTGAGATCCTCACAAAATCATCGAGTCTGAAGTAGGTGCTAACACATAAAGGCGTTTTATTCAGTTTAACCTAGGTCTCCCAGCCACCCCCACCCACCCCAGCATGACTGGGTGCAGAGGGAGGGGCAGCTGCAGTCTGCAGTTGGCAGGCTGCAGCAGGAATAGCAAGGCAGGAAAAAGAGTTTCAACAGCACAGGGTTCTTATACATTTCAGGCCAATTCCATATAATTATATAGTCATGATTGGTCAGTTGAACTGTTAGCTATTTTAAAAAGAACAAGTTGGCAGGCTTCTATTGGTGGGTTTGAAGCAAGCAACTTTCAAAAAGTACAAAGTGATGAGCTATGGAGCAGTGAATGTAACGCCAGGGACCTCCTTCATGAGGAGTGCTCTGCCTACATGGCCTTCCAGGTGCCCTGCCTGGTGTCACATAGACTGTAAGGCCTGGGCTTTACACAGCCTCCAGCCAAGAAAGTAAGGCAGAAATCACAAAAGCAGAAAACACCTAGGTTCTTCAAATCCATCCCACAGATGGGTGGGAAGGAGGGAAACGGTAAGAAGCTCAAGAGTCTTTATTCACCAGCCAGGGTGGCAACCACACAGCAAGAGGCTGATAGGCTATCACTCCCAGCTGCCAAAGTGAAGGATTTTTAAATGCTCAAGCCATGTTTTGGCTAGTTAGAAAAGCTAGATAAGGCAATAAAAAACAAGACACTGTTAATTAAATAAGGGTACAGACAGAAGGTGGGAGCCATATACAATTTATAGAAGCGAAAGCTGTGTTACCAGGGAAAGGTTATAGCCAAAAACAGTCTTTTAACCAGAATGAACATGAGTCATGGGCCATATATCTGGGATTCTGCCTACTCCCAGATCTTGCTCAAGGGGTAGAGGCTTGGGTCACCAAGATACTAAAATGGAGTCATAGTGGTTAATTGTCCAGTAATACCCTGTACTAGGGTGGGGTTTCAGGGAAGTGGTCCATTACAATAAAAATTCAAAATAGGGAAAATGTTAATATGGTTATGCCTGAGCTCTTAACCAATGTGTTCTCTGGGTCTGTTTTTTTTTTTTTTAAAGATTTATTTATTTATTGGAAAGTCAGATATACAGAGAGGAGGAGAGACAGAGAGGAAGCCCCAAGCGAACGTAACAGCCGATGCTATGCTGATCCAAAGCCAGGATCCAGGAGGAACTTCTTCTGGGTATCCCATAAGGGTGCAGGGTCCCAAAGCTTTGGGCTGTCCTCAACTGCTTTCCCAGGCCACAAGCAGGGAGCTGGATGGGAAGTGGAGCTGCTGGGATTAGAACCAGCGCCCATATGGGATCCCGGGGCGTTCAAGGCGAGGACTTTAGCCACTAGGCCACACTGTCAGGCCCTCTGGGTCTATTTTTAGTGTTAAATATTTTGTTAATAAGAATTAGATTATGCTAATGGAGTATACATCTTAATTTTGTTTGTTTTTGGCACAGAGACACACCTATATTTTAACTAAATATGTATGAATCAGGTGTAAAACTATTTAGGTTGCTGTGTTTTGCTATGTAATACTTTTATCTTAGTATTTTTTATCTCATTGCAGTAGCAGTGAATTATGTTTAGCAAAGCAGTCTTCTTAAGGATATATCTTAATTTAATGTTAGAAATAACCACTTTTTAAAATGTGATTGGCCTTAATGTCTTACCAAATTGCCTTTTGATGGTACGTGTAGCACACCCACAAAAAAAAAAAGAATGCCTTGAGACTTGGAAACCAGCTGATAGTGGGATAAATCATGTTTACTTAAAAATAAAAAGCAAATGTTTCATTATTTTTTGTTGTTTACTTCCTCAAAAGAGAAGTGCAATTTTATGTGGTAGTTCCTGTGAGTTCAGACTTCAGTTGTTAAAATGTAGTAAGAGCAGCAACTTCCATTTCTTTATGATGACACATCAAGTATGTCCTTATCTCAAAAACGTAAGAGTGATTGAGTGAAAGCTCCCTACTTTGCTTTTTGCAGGTGTCTCTAGAACACATGGAAGCATCTAAATTGCATTTGTTTTGCAGGAGCCAGTGAGAAAGAAATAGCCCTAATGAACGCTTTGACTGTTAATTTACATCTCCTATTGGTAAGTTTCTTTTCCCAAGATGTTTAGAATGCTATGTTTACAAATGCTGATGTTTTTCTATCTTCAATCATGAGCATCTAGTGGTTTACTCATTTGAAAGTTGTGAGATTTTCCATTTTACCAGCAAGTGCTGTGTAATAATATGAGAGCCTCTACATCATCATGGAAGAGTTGACTTTTACGAAGAGAATATAGAGTAATTAACAGTGCCTATCTCAGAACATGAGGAACAGGAGTCATTTGGGGTGACAAGAACAACAGTTTCAACACACGAAGCGATCCTGTTGGCAAAAACTGAGTTGTTTGGAAAGATAGTTTTCCAATATGGTGACTTTCATACAGTGGGATTATGGACCAACATATTTTTGTGTTATACACTTTAATTTTTTTATAAAGATTTTTTGTTGTTGTTGTAAAACCAGATATACAGAGTGGAGGAGAGACAGCAAGGAAGATAGTCTGTCTGAGGATTTACTCCCCAAGTGACCACAAAGGCTGAAGCTGCACTGATCCAAAGCCAGGAGCCTGTAGCTCCTTCCAGGTTTCCAACATGACTGCAGGGTCCCAAGGCTTTGGGCCGTACTCGACTGCTTTCCCAGGCCAAAAGCAGGGAGCTGGATGGAAAGTGGGGCTGCCAGGATTAGAACCAGCACCCATGACAGATCCTGGTGCGTGCAAGGCAAAGACTTTAGCCCTTGGTCACCACACTGAGCCCAACACTTTAAATTTTTTTTTAATTGTTTATACAAAGTGAACAAATTCCATATTATTCATTGTACAGATTTAAGAGCTTACTGATATGTTTACCCCTACTCTTGCCAGCATTGTCTACTCATAGCACCCTCTTCCATCTACCTATCTTTCTTTCCTTTCTTTTTCTCCTTTCCTCTTCTCTCCTTCCCTTCCCCTCACTTCTCTTCCCTACTTTTCTTTTCTCTTCCCCTCCCCTCTACTCTCCTCCTCTCTTTCTTCCCTTTCTTTCATCTCAAGTAAGCCTCAAATATCTTAAAAATTAGAACTGCATGGGGGAAAATGCTAGTACCTTAAATCTTTAATAAAATGCTTCTCATATTGTAAGTGTGCTTAGACAGTTTTCCTCTAAGTACAAAGCATGCTCAGGTATTCTTGATTTTGATTATGATGCCTATATGGTTTTTGGAATATGACTATTACTCAGTGCTTGGAGAAATTTCGATTTTGCTTTTTAAAGTATGAGTTAGAAACATGTATACATTTAGATATCCCTGGATTTGATTTCCAGCTGAGTTAGTCAATATTTGATTCACCTTTGGCAAGATTTGTAGCAACTATGATTCTTAATATTATCCTGTGAAAAATAGAATAGTACACCCCTGCCTCACTTATGTGTAGGAGAATTCAATGTGATAATATGTGAAAATTTATTTAGCACATCAACCAATGATGAGCATGCGTCAACACTAGTTGCTGTCTCGACTGTTAATGTCGTTCTCCCTGAACTGTGTGCAGAAAGAAAGGGCTGTCATGGACAAATAAACTCACTGGACATTCTGCTAGTGGCACTTCTTAGGTAAACTTGATAAAGTGGTTGGTTTGTGATGCAGGTCAAAGGGAGGGTAGGGTAGGAAGCATCTCTGTGCTCCTAAACCTTTATTGTGAAATTTCTTCATCTTATATAAATGAAATTATTTAGAAATCCAATCAATTCAAGAAATCACAAATCGGTGGAAATACTGTGCGGTGGAATGTCAGTTGATGATCTTAGATACACTAACATGAAGAAGACAGGTATAGAACATGTCCAATCTCATACTATAGCAATTGTCATTAAGTGTTATAGAAAGATGATTTTTCCATTAACTGTGAGAATTTTTATCTGACTCACTTCCTAACCTCTACTTCAAATTCACATTTCCATAAATAAATATAATTGACCAGTATCTTCTTCCTTTAAAAAAAAAAAAGCTGGAAATAAGGTATACTAAAAAGGTACCCTGGAAAGATATTTTAAATATTTAAATAATTAATGCCTTTAAAATGTCAGAGATTATTGGGCCTAACATGGTAACCTAGCAGCTGAAGTCCTTGCCTTGCATGCACCAGGAGCCCTTGTGCCAGGATCATACACACCAGGTTTCCCTATGGTAGTCAGTTCGTATCCCGGCAGCGCCTCTTCCCATCCAGCTCCCTGCTTGCGCTCTGGGAAAGCAGTCGAGGACGACCCAAAGCCTTGGAATCCTGCACTGTGTGGGAGACCCAGAAGAGGCTCTTGGCTCCTGGCTTTGGATTATCTTTGCTGCAGCCATTGTGGCCGCTTGAGGAGTGAATCAATGGTCAGAAGCTCTTCCTTTCTCTCCTCTAAGTCTATCTGACTTTCCAATAAATTTTTTTAAAAAAATCTTTTGAAAAATTGTCAGATAATTAAGAGAAAGAGTAACATAAAATGAGTGATTGCATAAATTGTGTATTAAGTTTTCTCAATAAATCCATTTCATTGCAGTTATCATTCTTTAAGCCTACACCTAAAAGGTATAAAATTCTTCTAGAAGCCAAAGCCTTCCCTTCTGATCATGTAAGTATTTCGTCAAATTATATCTATGTGCTCTGCATTCTTCCTAGAGGAGAGGATTATTTGCTTGACTTTAATGTTTAGTCACTAGTCTTTTCCAAGTAACCTTACAATAGAAAGATCTGTCTAATGTTTTTGGTTTAGACATTTTTAATAGAGCATAGCTTTATTTCTTTTGTTCAAATAAAACTTGTGTTAAGTGAAAAAGCAGTTGAGGAAGTACATTGATTTAATAGTACTTTTAAATTCAGCAAAACTGCTTACTTAAATCAATTGAAGTTGTTTTATTAATTCTTATTCCCCCTGATTTTATTTAATCAAAGCAATATAAACCGCAATGCTTAAAATTTACCCATAGAATTGAGATATAAACTCTTATTTGTTCTTTTGTTTTCATAGTATCATAAAAAACTTTTTTACTAAAGCTTTAAAGATTAAAAGTTTTTGTGGTTTAATAAGCAAAATCATGCTGACCCATTTATAATCATTCAGCTGATAAGAAATTTGATTGTTCCCAACACAGATGAAAGTAAATGACATACTTCAGTTTTAACCCTAGAGAAAGTTGATTGCTAACTTTGTGTTACTAATGTTAAATGTTCTGGTTCATATCCTATAATTCTAATGCATCAAAAATCTATGTCAAAATTAATAGTCATTATACTACCAAAAAGAAAGCTGTAACATCTTGAAAAGATCAGAGACCATCTTATAATTGCTTCCTCCATACCCATATTATAGCCTCAAATAAGTCCATTTCTAATGTCCTTTCCATTCATCAACTCAAACCTCATAGAGTGATCCATTTCTGTATCTTATATTGCAACATAACAAGTCTGTACCATTTTGATTATTTTGCAAATTCTAATGTTGACCTGGGATTTAACATCTTATTTTAAAATCCTGTTGTGACCCTTAAAGTTTAGAGGTTTCCACATTTCTACTCATGTCTGATATGATCTGTTTTAAAGCGTGTTGGAATTCTTCTAAGTGAATCATATTAAGTGTTTTTTTTTTTTCTGATATACTCAGCCATGTTTAAACTAGACATTGGATTTAGTATGCTTTTATTGATATTTTATCATTGTTTTCAGGGTTGCTATTTAAATGTACTTCTGGGACTTGTGTTTGATTTAATAAATAAACCATTTCTTTTTTCTAGTATGCTATTGAGTCACAGCTTCAACTTCATGGACTGAATGTTGAGAGAAGTATGCGGATTATAAAGCCAAGAGAGGTATATGAGAAAGAAATATTCAACATGCTTCTATTTAGTATTGATTGCTTTCATCGTTTTCCTCAAAAGTTTATTTTCTTCATTATTTTAATGGAACTTTCAGAAAAGTATAAAAGACTTAAACTTCTGTTACTGCGAGATCATTTTGTTTAAAATAGAGAACAACTCAGAAGTGTATTTATTTTCATTTTCAAGGGTAACCATATGGCAAGCAAACTATTTTCCTATTTATAGCACTGGGATCTGCTGTATTCTTCAGCAGAATGGGAAGAGAGTGGCAAATTGGGTATATCATTATCAATTTGAAATGTCGCTTCTCAAGGGCACCATTAAAATCAGGATAGAGTCTAGTGGCATTTCTAAAATACAATGACTATCTGTTTACATCCCTTCTTAATTTTAAGCCTCAAACATTTTCCTTAGTGTTTCGACAAGAATGGAAAAAGGGATATTGTATAGTAGGAAGGGCTTCAGTTTTACGGCCTGAGTGAAATACTCTAAAGAAATATTCCAGACCCTCTAATTTACTATTTATGTGGCTTTGAGAAAGTTACTTTACCTGTCTGAGACTCATTTATATTTAAACAGATAACAAAAGATGCATTTAATTCAGTTTGACCATATGTTCAATATTAAAATACTGTGTACTTTACCTTAATGGAGACATAAGGCTAAGTTTTACAGACTTTGACATATAAACCTTGCAGCTAGGATAATTTGGCATAGAGAGAATCATACCTAATATATGTTAGGTTTAATATGGAATGCTCCTAGTCTTTTAAGCCAGTGTTTGAATAATTACTTATTTCAAACTTGAATTACTTTGAGGAAATTAAGGACCTGTTCTATTCACTTCTATTTGCCAACATGCAATAAATTAGTAGAATAGAAAGTTCTCATACCTACAAGGGGATAGCTGTTACACTTGTCATATTATATAATTTTAGCATCAATTTAAGATAGCCACTAATAATCACAAGTTATCATGTTATAAATAACCAGTGTGTAGAATCTCATTACTGAATTATAATCTTGGGACCATTTAATATTACTATACAAGAAAAAGTCAATAGGAAATGGCTATATTTTCTGAGAAATAGATTTCTTATTTCCCAAATAGTGTTTCCTTAAAGAAATAAAGCAAGCACCACTATGATATTTTTTGCTATTCTAACCCCCACCCCCACCTGCTGAACTGTGGTAGACAGATATTTTATAGATTCTTTAAGAGCAGTTTTAGGAGCCGGCATGACCCGTTTGGCCTAATAGATAAGCCAGATGGCTGAATACATATATTGCATATCCGAGAACCTGAATTCAAGACCTGACTCTGACTCCTGAATCATCTTCCTGTGCAGGCAGGAGGTGGCACTGATGGCTGGAGTCACTGGGTCTCCTCCATGATTGGGGAGACTGGATTCTGTTCCCAGTTGCTGGATTTGGTTCTGGCACAGACCCAGCCATCTAACGCACTGAGAGAGTCAATCAGCTAAAAACATTTCTCTGTTTATTTTTCTTGCTGCCTCTAAGATAAATAAAAAGCACAAATACTGGTTCATTTTTAGAAATGAATAAAATGTCTTATGTTGATAAGTTAATTTTCATTAGAATCTTGAAGTTACAGAAATCTTTGTTTTACATATGTAAAGGATGCTCCATTTAATTCAGATTCTAATATTAATCTTGTTTTCTTTTAGGACGCTTTAACAAACTCAAGGTTATCTTCTAACAGTTATTACCTACATATGCATATATATAGATTGTAAATCCGCTACATATATATGTGTATGTATATTTATACGAGAGAGAGTTTATAAATTTAATATGAACTATAGTAACTGGTAAACATATAGAATTATGGAAAATGAAAACCTGAAGGAGAATTTATGATTACACTAAGCTTCCCCAAATAATAATCTGATTAATGATGCATTGATTAGATTCAACTAAGATTTAGTACTATGGAAAAAAGAAACTTAGTAAAAATAACTGAATTCTTTTGGAACACATAAACATTTAGTTCATTTTTTTTCAGCTTAGATTGTTTATAGGATAAAAATCTACATTTTTTGTAGTTCTCATTATGTATTCAGTCATTGATTGTGGTAGGGCCTATGGGCAAATTCTCACCTGGATTTTAGCAGAATTATCTTTCATCTTCGAATTTTGATCTTTATAAAAGTTTGGGTGAATTTTTATTTATAAGCTGGTAGAAAAAACTGCTAGGTAATGTACAGAAGGAAGAAATTTTTTATTGAAACTAATGGCATTTATTTCAGAAAAGATAACAGATTCTAAGTACAGAATGAATTTCTGATGTTTAACTTACTACATATTATTTCATGTATTTACAGTGCTATTTATCTTTGCTAAAAATGAAGGGCAAACAACTTAGAAATATGGAGCTAGACTGATTAAAAACTGAGAGATAAACATCTAAGGTTTTGTAAAAACTTTCAAAACCCATCTTGCATCTCTTCATAATGAAAGCGTACATTCAAATGCTGCTGCTTTGTTACGGTTTTCACATTAGATTCAAAAAGATGTACTTTTTTGTAGTGAGAAATAGCTAACGGTGAGATTAAAATTGGTAAACATGAAATGGCAAATCTAGTATTCAGAAAATTATAGAAGTTGTCCCTAATTTCATGTAGGGAGAAGAAACCTTGAGAATGGAGGATATTCTTGAAGTAATTGAGAAGGAAGGAGAGTCCATTGCTGTGATTATGTTTGGTGGGGTGCATTTCTACTCTGGGCAACTCTTGGATATCCCTGCCATCACAAAAGCCGGACAAGCAAAGGTATGTACATTGTGTGTCCCATCCTGCCTCACGTCAAGCATTCCCCAGCTGTGGAGCGATCTAACTGCACTGTTGTTGAAGTACTTTTCTGTGTATTGATTATCATTGTTTGAACTATAAAAGCTACACCAATTTTTGTATTGCTTTAAGTATCTTTAAGTCACCTTTTGCCACTTCTGTGGTCTTAATAGTAGCAGCTTTCTCAATGTTCATGGTCAACAGTGGGACAGGCAAATTTCCTGGCAGAAATGTCATTGGTACTGAGCCAGTAAAAAGTAGAAAAATTGCTTTGTTTAGTAATTAGGCACAGGGATTGTTAGAAACACAACTTTGACATTGTCATTTGACTCATTATGAATATGTCAGTTCTCAACTTTAGGTACTGAAAGCTGGGTGATGACAGATTTACACCAGTATCTTTAAGGAGACCTTTTTTATTATTAAAAATCTTAATAAATTACTATATTACCTACAGTGAGAATTTTTTTCCTATATATCACTAAATATTTTATAGTGATAACACCTAAATATTTTATCATTTTTGAAATCTTATCTCCTTACATGCATGTGTTTGTAAAATATATTCTTAGTATTTATTTACCTGTGAAAAGAAATCATGGAGGAAACAGCATTTGACAGTCACAATTTGAATTTAAAATTCTTAAATAACTATTCTATTTGAGTCAGCAATCAAGTCATGCATTTAAAAAGGTGCCAATCAGATTTTATTCTGAACATTAATAAGTTATGGGACCAATATATGTGTGAGGTCTAGTTAATATATTCAGTTATTGAAGCTAATGAATGGAACTAATGAAAAGAAATTTAGCACCGTTCTGAACAGTCTCAAGGAATTTGCAACCACGACTTCCAACTGGTTTGATGGATAACTGTGAAACTGGTCCATTACAAAAGATATAATGATAATGTCTTCTTAATTTAGATATTAAATGTTAAGCACAAAAATAAAGAGAGGCCAATAAAAAAATCACATTTCAAAGTGTTAGACTAGTAATCAGCAGTCCAAGTACCGTTAGTATACATGCATGTCTCATTAACCTTAATAAATATGAGTCAGGAAGACAGAGAAGAAAGACTGAGTTTTCAAACCACACAACCTGAACTTTAAATTTTGAATAGGTCCTTTAATTACAATATAATCTTGGGTAATATCTTTGCCTTCTTAGAGTTTCTGCTTCCAAAGGCACTAAATTAAACTCACAGCATCCACCTCATAATGGGAAAAGTATATAAAACATCTGTTTGCTTGACACACATTATTTTATTGGTCATTTTCTACACCTACAACTGTTCCCAATGAGTATAAAGTTATTGGAAAAGGCTCATATACATATTTTGTTTACCTAGATTTTGCTTACCTAGATTTTATATGCAGTATATCAGTTTATATAAGTACATTGGTTGCTACAATCAATTGCTGTGTTCTATAGACTTTCTTGAAAAAAAAAATCATAAGTTTCTACCAACTTAAATCTTCATGAAACTCTCCAACAAATAAATGAAGGTAGGATTAAGTCCTTTGAAATTAAGTGTAAAGGCTAGGAAGTGATGAATTCCATGCAAGTAAAATGAAAAAAAAAAAAAAAGAAAGAAAAAGAGGCTTTACTTATTATCCAAATCACTCTAACCATGTTTACTTTATTGCTAGATTCTAAATTGAATTTCAGATTTCTTTAAAATATGGGGTTTCATGGCTCTTTTGGGTAGCCACTGAAAATAAATCTGAGGATAAAGGCAGGCAGAAAAATAAAGATGGCAATCAGAGAGGAGATGAAAAATTCTAACAGAAAACGCATAAAAAGCCAATGTAGGGATTGACCAGAAGAAGCAAAAGAGAATATTTCTGGCAAGGAAGCATGGCAGATGCCAAAAGTGACGTTGGAATGTAGCAAGCAAAATCAGTGAGGAGGGAAGTAGGGATATAAAGTTTGAAGACTGTTTGAATTCAAGAAACACACGTATAATAAAAGCAAATGGCAATGCATGTTATTTGAGGCTCTTTATCATTCCCATCAAGAGATAGAACATTTCCAAAATTCAGAATCTTGACTGTATCTTTTCCCAAGGCTTCCTGTTTCTTCCTTTCTTGTTTTTGGGGGGTTGCTGTAATGAAATATCTTGCTGTGGATAACTAGGATTACTACAAAACAGCAGAAATGTATCGCTCCATTTTGGGAGCCTGCACAATCCTAGAAGTGTCTTGTGACTGTCATCCTCTGGTTCATGGGTAACACCATGCTCTGTGCTGAGGTGTAGGGGACAAGGAAACTCACTACAGTCTCTTTTATGCGGGCACTTATTTCAATCACTTTCATCATGATGAGGGTCAAGTTCCAACACATGAGTTTGGAGGGGTCACCAACGTTTTTATAGCACAGGCCCTCTTTTCCCAAGTTAGTAGTTTGTTGACTCCAAACCACGTATCTCAATTTTGTATATTTTTGGGTGTTACAAAAATGCACATACAAATATTTCATTTGGATTATTTGCTCTCAGGTATGTTTCTGAGTTTCATCCAAACTTTACCTAACAGACCTCTTGCTGATTTTTCTTTTCTTTCAATATTACCAGGTTGTGTGAAGTATGTCAAAACATATTTCTTTGCATTTTCATGGGAATAGATATTAGGTTTTATTTCCACTTGAGAGCTATACAATAAATGTTTCTCTGGGCATATTTATATGTTTACAAGGACCAATATTCCACACACAATCTACTGAGTTTATACCCAAAAGTTAATGCTCAGATATTAATCTGTGTGTATATTTATTCCTAATCAACAATGCTGATTTTCCAAATGGATTATATAAATTTGCTATATCCTCCCACCATTGAATGTAACAGTCTTTGTTGCTCTACATCTGCACCAGTAGCCGCTATTGGCAGTAATTTTCATCTTAAGCAATCTATTTTGTAGTAGTAACACCTGTAGTTTAAATTTATACTTCCCTGATTATTTATCAAGTTTAAAACTTGCCTATATATATATTTTTTTTGATGAAATGTTCAAGTCTCTTATGCACTTTTCTACTTTGGTATATGTGTTGCTAATTTAGTTATAGATGATGTAAGAATTGATTTGGAAGGAGAGGAAAAAATACTACTAGTGGTCATCAAAAAGGAAAGCACATGAATACATTAATTAAAGGATATTGTTATTAATTTAAGTTGCTTGGACTTTTCTTAGCTGTGGAGATTTGAGATAGTAGAAAATGAGATAGGCTAAGAAAAAGCATAGCTATAGAGATATGAATCACAAGATAAGGCCAGAATGTGACCAGAAAGATACTTCAATACTGATCTTCATTTATTTTGTTGCTGAAGCTGTATACAATATCACGCATAATTTAATGCCCGTACAGAGCTCTGCCTAACTTCTATAAGTCTAATTTTTAAAACATTTTATTATATTTTTTACTAAGAATTTCTTAGTTTCTACACCCACTGAAGGCAGGTGCACCTTGTCCTTTGATGTACTATCATTAGAGATTTTTAATTGCTCCCCAACTCGCCCATCAGTGCTAGGTGATATTCCAACAGAAAAAAAAATTTATCTTCCTATTATATTTGGATGCACTTCCTAAATTCCTTTGATATCAATATCCTTTAAATAAATTTCCTTTTCCTGAAAGCTATTTGCTTTTTCATGCCATCATCCTCTGGGACCATTTCATTCAACTTTCCTATATCAATAGCTTTTTAATTCACTCTTCTCAGTCTGTATTTTTCTTCTCATTTCCCTGAATCAAATATGAGAGCTTTCAGTGGCAAGAAAACAGTCCCATTAAAATTAACCCAAAAATGAGAATTTCTTCTTCCCAACTCACATAACTTCAGCAGAAGCCGCTGAGATACATCATGCAACTCAGTTAAAGCTGAGTGACATCTCCAGAATTCTCTCAGAATTTTCTCAGCTTCTCACATTGCTGTCACAAGATAGTTGTCCTAAATCCAACTAGATACTGTTTCCCTATTTAAGGCTGAGAAAGGGAAGGAGGGAGGACAGTGGAGCTTCATCTGTGCCTTTCAGCTGAAGTGCTAAATCCTTCCAAGAAAAACCTAGCAAAGTCCTGCTTATGACTCATTTGCCTTCTGAAGTAACAGCTAAAAAAACAGCATAGGCAAGAAAACTGTTGCATTCATAGTTGAATAATAGAGGGACGTGAGGAAGCAGAGGTTCAGAATTAGGTCTGGCTGGGTTAGTTACCAAGGTTTTTCTTGCATTACACATTCGTACGCCCACAGAATCTTCAGGTTCTTGCGTCTCCTCATTCCTCTTACAACACTTGCATTTTCCCCTTTCTCCTCCTATACTCATCTACTGTCTCATTGTCCCTCTCCTTTCCAATTCATTTTTTCCCCATCTTCTCCCCTTTCCTTCCTGCCTTCTTCCTTTGTTTTCTTCCATGTTCGCATTGTGTGTACGTGTGTGTGAAGAGATTTATTTTCATAAATTTGGAATACCATTTCTTTTATCTTTTTGTTTTTTCAGCCTGTTGCACTAAGTAGCTCAAAATACTTAACAGAAAATTGATGGTGTAATGAAACATATTAACAGAAATAGAATATCTGAAACATTGAAAAAATAAAGGAATAGATCTCAGACTCTATTATAATTTTTACATCTATATTATAAGACTAGATAACAAATAATTACACATCATGGAACACTCCTGGTGTTTTAGATGGATAGACGAGTTTACTGTTTTTAATGAACAGTGATAGAAGTTTGTTTCTTGATTTTGCGGCAGCCGAAGCTCAACTTTCTATTCTGCGATTTGGTTTTCCAATGATGAGTGTTGTGGCTTCTGGTTTTTATATCCTAGAGCCTCTGTGTGGATTCACAGAAATGGGAGAAAAAGGTGTAAAGGGGCACAGATTTACTTCTTAATGCCTTGCATTAAAAATGGCAAAAGTTGTCCCTACTTATATTGGATTAACTAGCACTCACAGAAATTAAGCTTCACTGTTGACTTAAA